TGCAAGCTGTAAATACCTCTAAGATAACTGTGACACTGGGGTACTGCGCTCTGGCTGCAGGAATGTCACAAGCAAGGTCTGCAAATGCTTAATTGTTAAAAAAAAACATGCTGAAATTAATTTACTATGAAAACATAGAAGAAAATATTTCAAGTTAGCACCCCTCAGATCTCCAAATGAATGCCTGTGAATGATCTTATCTGTCTAGGCCATCTGATCTTCTATGCAGAGAGTAGGCTGCTTTTCACATTTCTGGCTGTGGTTCTACATTTACAAACATGCAATGAACAAGAAATTCAAAAGTAGATGATGTGAAATGGATTCCCGGGGCGAGTAAGATAAAAGATCAGGCAAGTGATCTGGTGACAAAAAGTCTGGTGTAGATGACTGTGCCATGAGTACAGTGCTGTCTCTTGAAGAAGGGTGTATTACAGGATCTTACTGGATTACTTTTGGGGGCAAGACTGCTGTGAAGGAAAACTGACCCACTCAGAAGACGTGAAAAAGAAAGACCAGATTTCCACCTGGCAGCAGATTGTGAGCACAGTGTTTTGTGAACTGAAGAGACAACAGTACTTTTGTTGTCACTGTCAGATTAAGCACCCACAGCAGGGAGGGAAAGTTCAGGAGAAAACACTGAGAATTGCTTTATTTTAAGAAGTAGGACTTCTTATGTGATATTACTATGACAGCCAAATTGTAACATCTGAAATTGGCAGCCACATGAACAATGACACAGCACAGAGATAATACTCTTCAGGTTTGATGTAAACGATACAGAAATCATCACAAACATTCAGTTTACCATTTTGCTTAGCTAGCGCCGATTAGGGAAATACTATGGAAAATGATAGACAAAATAAAGACCTGAGGAAAACCTCAATATGATTAGAAAAATCATTTTGTTACAATACAGAATGAATGAGATGCAGCGAAAAGATGCCAGCAACTTTTTAGACTTCTTGAAAATGCACCATGAAGATGACAGGGAGAGTAAGCAGTGACCCACACGAGGATTTGAGACTATGCAAATTCTGGAACTAGGTATTTTGTTCCCAGAATCTAGAAACACATTTCCTCCATCTGTTATGCATCAGGATTTCTTTTTTCTCTCAGGGTTGATTTACCCATGTAACTTTTTATTATTTACCTATTTTTGCTGAAAACAACAACTACCATATTCACTCAAACCTTAGTCATCCAAATCAGAGACAGAAACCTTTTTCACCCCAGTGAACAAGTATCTTTGTATACCCTCTAATATTGGACATCCTGGACTCTAGTGCTTCAATGCTGCAGGGAACTGAAAGTCAGTCTAAAATCTTTCAAAGGACTGTTAGCAGGGAGGAAAGTGAGAAGCTAAGGTAGCAAGCTATTGGGAGTCATTTATTATCACGTAAGAACTCAGCATTACAGAGCTGTAATTGAATATTACACCTATAACTTTGCATGTGGTTGTGATAGAAACATTTAATATTCCCCACTACTCTGTTTCCCAGCATACTGAAAAAAAAATGAGAAAGATTCTTCAGTGACTCACCCTATTTCAGTTGCCCAAAACACCTGACCAAGAGCAAAGACAAGAATATTCTTTCTGGGCTAAACCATGTTCTGTTCACTGAAATAATATATAGCAGCTTCCACCATATTTTGCCCACTTATTTGGAGAAGGGCAAACTACCTTTTAGTGGGGATGTAAACAGTATTTTCAAAGATGTTTTCAAATATCTGGGCAAAGAGCTAGACACGTTACCCAAATCAGATAGAATGGCTCATTACTGGCATGGATTAAAAAGCAGCCCTTCTGGCTATGAGCTTCAGGTACATCCCGCAGCATGCAGATAAAGAAGTGTATCATCAAGCTTCTTAGGTCTAGCGAGATATAACTGTGTCCTTTCAGATATAGGGGGATTTAAAATATTTTTTTTTAAGTTTGAAAAC